CCAACACCATTTTAGTTTGCTACCTTATGTATCCCTGGATTTGGTCCTATAGAGATTTATAATATAAGAAACCCTGTATAGGGTCACTATGAATTGAAATTGATTAATGACAGTGGATTTGGGGATACCGTCTCTATCTGAATAACATAATTATTTCATAATCTTATCATTAAGATACAACTTTGTCAGCAGTGCCTAGTTCTAAAACCTGTTTGAGTTTTATGCTACAGAAGTTTAATGCAGTAAAACTGATTTTTTCAAACACTGCAAGGCTCAACTACTTTAGAAAATGGAAGTTTGGAAATATGTGTAAGACTGACTTAATATGGAAAAATAGTATAAATCCTTAACACAGAAGTTTCAAGTGCTACTAGAATGTTTATAGAAGTAGATGGTATTTAACTTTTTACCACAAATATTTAATCACACGCATAAATGACATGAGTATTTCGATTATTAAGGAGCCCGGTGGTATGGTGTGCTATGCATTGGGCTGTCAATTGCAAGGCCAGTGACTGGAACTCACCAGCAGCCATGCGGGAGAAAGAGAAGCCGTTTTGTTCCCCCTCAGATTTAAAACCTGGTGGCATAGTGGGTACGTATTAGGTTGCTAACTGCAAAGCAAGCAGTTCAAAACTACCAGCTGCTCCTTGGGAGAAATATGGATCTTTCTACTCCTGTAAGAATTAGAGTCTTGGGAATTCACTGAGGCAGTTCTGCCTTGTCCCAAATGGTCACTGAGTCAGCACTGATGAGTTTTCTGGTTTGACAGGTGCCTATGAGTTTGAACCAATCCTACTCAATGGCAGTGGGTTTTGGCGAGTTTTGTTTGTGAAAGTTGGTATGCTAAATTTGAACAATTTATATATGCTCTCATCAAATACCTCGAGAAGTAAAAGCCTAGTTGACACAATATGAACAGATTACAAAAAGGACTAAATTATTGGGGTTGGGGGAACCCACTCCAAAGTTGTTTGGTTTTTAAAGTATATTTATATGGGTGGGGGTGGGGTTGTCTTAAAAAATTGTGGCTGAGGGACCACAGAGTAACAAGAACATTTCTTTACCATTAAAGTTGTTGACCGTGTTTTTCTCTTGAATTAATTTCGAGTTGTACGTGAAAGGTCTATTGATTTTTAAAAAGGTTATTTTCAAGCTTACTTGCTCAAATATTTTCAGATTCCAAACTAGAAAATAAAGTTTCAAATTGAGGACATACTCATGCTGCTGAATACAATGATGAATTATTATAAGAATTCGTGCAGAAGAATGCCTGCCGTCCACAGAAGGGAGAAGGCACAATGATCAAAGTCTTAGTTAATTATGAACACCTTGAATTGCAAACACCAGGGGGTAGAAATCTGATCCATAAGAGATCCCAAATTAGGAGTCTTGCTGAAAACTTTGAAAAATGCCTCTGTATAAAAGCATTCCCAAGTCTTTAATGTCTGTAGCAAGAGACCTGGAGTGATATATTCACACGTCCCTGGAGTCCCTGAGTGGTGCAAATGGTTAGCGTGCAGTTACTCATTGAGATGTGGGACATTCACCTCCATCGAGGCACTTAAAAAATCAACCATTAAAAACTGTATGGAGCACAGTTTGACTGAGACACACGTGATGCCACGAGCCAGTGCTGACTCATTGGCAACGGATTTTACTGTTGTTGTTTTTTTATTACCCCTGATTAAGGTACTGAGTTAGTTTCTTGGTTACACTATCTAAAAAACAAAAAACGGATCAGAAGCGTTCCAGCCCCTAATGTTTCTAAAACTGCCTCTGTCATCGCAGCTCTAAATGAAAATACTTTACAGAGAGCCGGGCTAGCCCACCTCACAGCTGGGACCTTCAGCAAAGGCCATGAGTTATCTTGCCTTGGTTTCCTCCTCTGGAAAATGTAGCAGATTGTAGCTTCCTCCTCTATAAAATGTAGGTCGAAAATGTAGATCGTCACAGAGAATGGCCCAGATGAGCCATTCTGGGTTAGTATTAGCAGTATTGTCATGTATCTCTTATATTAACTCATCATTTTTGGAGAGACGCCACCAGCACAAAATTAATGAAACCAAGTTAAATTATCAAAATGGAGGGGAAAAAAGACACATTAAAAAAAAAATCATAAAACTCCAAACTTAATACTGGTTCGTCTGAGAATTACCTATTTCTTTCCAGCTTTTCCTACTAAGTTCAAATATAAGTGGAGCCCTGTTAGTCACATTGGAAATGAACTAGTTGTGACTTTGTAATTGATCTTTCTAAGGCATGCCCTTCTAGGCAAAGGGTATGTCAGGGGGTTCCCTCCACATGCTGTTCCTGAGAGAAGGCAGCCAGTAGCAGTCTGGCCGTCGGGACATATTTTCAATAACTTCCCTCTGTGTGGGATAAATAAGTGTTGTTCTGATCCCATGCCCCAAGGCACTCACTTGATTGCTAAGAAGTTCCTAAACATGGACCTTTTTCTAGCTAGAGAGGCCATAGACACCATGCTCTTGTTATATATTGTCTACTCATTCTGAAACATTAGCATGGGACCTTTAATTAAAATCTTGGTATTAGGATTGAATTTCAAACCAGAGGGATAATTTTTGCCTCCACTGTCTAGCTTAGCCCAGTCAATGAGGGGAACAGAGAGACTAACAATATCCTCTAGTTTGTAGTGAGTTAAAAGAGATTTCAACTGCTGGAATTTCCAGTTTGGGGGCTTTTCCTGGTGAACTATGATTTAATGTCAGTATTCTGGGATGTAGGCAGATTCAAGGAGAAAGCACACTAAAGTATAGACCATGACAAGGCATAAATGAGGCAGTTTAAAAAGGTCCTTGGAGCACAAAAAAA